TCATAAGCATAATTAGATGGTTGTTATTTTATACCACAAGATTTGGGATAGTTTGTTGCATAACAATAGGTAATTAGAACATGTTAATTTTGAACAAAATTTGGATTCTTTTAGTAAGGCAAGTGAATAATCAGTGTAATTGCAGGCAACCACGGAGCCTGCTCCTTTTTTGATACCTGCTCTTCTACTGATGTCCATGGATATCAGGCTTCTCTAACATACTCAACTTTTAGCTTTTTTAGAAAACAAAAAGTGTTCCCTAAGGCTAAATGACTTCCTTTGGGGCAAATAAAGGACATCCTACAGGCATGATTTGGCTTGGAATTCTTGGACCCAGGGTCCCTCCTCAAGCTTCTGAAGAGTTTCACATTCTAGACTTGGTTTAGATGCTACCATCATTGCATTAATCTTCCATAGATTGATTCCCCAAGATCCCCTGCTTCCCTTCATGTAATATACTGGATTTTATCCCTCCCAGCCCAGTGTTAGAAAATAATACTATCATATATTGAGTACTAGGGTGAATCTGAAGGCTGACAGGATTCCCCCCCCCCCCCCGACCAATCAAGTATTTTACATACATTAATCCTATGAAGTAGATAACATAAACCCCATTTTTACTGATAAGAAAACCAAGACTCAGAAAGATTCAGCAAACAGCCTAAAGTCACACAGCTACTAAGTGGTAGAGATGAAATTCAGGTCTAGGTTTGTAAGCTCTACAGACTACTCTTTTCTTCATTATACTGCCTCACAACTCAGCAAATTTAATTTAATTAGACTTCATTTTCTTTATAATATCTTTCCTTTGATCAATCAGAACATTTTAAGAATAAGAGGGAAGCTCCTCCAATTTTCTACTTTCTTTTGTGTTTCCTAGGAAGTGGCTTAGAAAAAAATCCACCTCCTCTTCCACAAATGAGCTAGACTCTTCTATTTTTAGTAAATGAGTTATAGCTAGTCACTAATTGTAGTTTTAGTTACACTTCTGGCTGTTTTCTTCATACTATCTGCTTCAAATTATGTAATAGGTCATATTTACTTATTTTAGCTGTATGTTACCATGCAGCTTTTTTTTTTTTTTTTTTTTTTTTTTTTAATATAGAATTCTTTGTATTTAAGCTTTAAAGTTCAGGTGCTGACATTTACATTGTCATCTATATGAATAGTGCCTCCTGGAGTCCTGCAGTCTGGGCCTGTGTGTGGCAGCTTAGTTAAAATCAAATTCCAAGGGGAACTGTGTGAGGGAAGTGGGTGAGGAGATGTAATTTGATTCCTCCCCAAACTCCAGTGTGTGGTTTAATTTCTCCTCTGGTCATATCTTATTTGAGTGATACCTAGAAAAGAGATCAAGTCAGGGTCAACCATTCATTTACCTTTGCTGTGAAGTTTGAATGGTATGTCCCACTCAACTGAGAGTGTAAATTTAGAATAACCCTTGGGGCTTCCTATATGGGGACAGAACTCAATCTCTGTGTTGTCTATAGCAATGCAGCTTCCTGAGATTGATGCTGATCATTCTGAGGGAATGCTTCAAATTTCTTAATCTACAAATGCCACTAGAGATGGGAACTAAATCACTTCGATCTACCTTCAAGTGTCAGATTTAATTAAGGTTAGAGAAAGCTCCTTAGCCATAGAAGTATTTCAGTATGAATTGGGTTTAACCAAATATTCCACAAAATCTAGGGAAAGTACAGTTTAATTTCAAATTAACTACATGAATATGCACTCTGTATTTGTTTTTAATGTTTTATTTATTTTTGACAGAGAGAGAGAGCATAAGTGGGAGAGGAGCAGAGAGAGAGGGAGACACAGAATCCAAAGCAGGCTCCAGGCTCTGAGCTGTCAGCACAGAGCCCGACGCGGGGCTTGAACTCACAGACCACAAGATCATGACCTGAGCCAAAGTCAGATGTTCAACCGACTGAGCCACCCAGGCGCCCCTGTATTCTGTATTTTTGACCCAGAGGGAGATTTCTCATAATTTCTAGATGGCACAGATTAAAAGCTCTAATAGAATAAAACTCATCTCTTTAACAGTTTGGCAATTATATAAAAGTTTAGTCTTGCCCTCATACACATTTCCCCTTCATTTTTCTTCTTAAAAGGAAAAAAAAAAATGGAAGTCTCATTTTTTTCACCCCTTTCCTGTGCACTCATCTTCAGATCCAGGTCTAAACCATTATGGTGACCCCATTTCCCTTGCAATGGTCTAGATATGGATATATGATATAGTTCTGGCCAATGAGCCATGCAGGAACATCTGCTTGGGACTTCTGAGAAATGTTTCTTCATTCCTATAGAGTGAAGAAAAAAAAAAAAAAAACAACAACAAGAGAAATCCTTCTTTTTCTGGATATTGACACATTTGAGTGTGATGCCTGGAACCATAGCAGTCATTCTGTGACTTCAAGGGGTATCAACCTTAATGTCAAGTCCACCAGCTCAGGATGGCAGAATAGAAAACTGAAAAGGAGCTAGGTCTTTGATTATGAAGTTATGAAGCTACTCAACTAACCACCTCTGGAGCAGCCCTACCACTGGACTTATGTGAGAGAGCAGCTTTAAACCAGCTGAATTCATTTTTCTGTTAGGGTGCTCTCAAATTACAGATGACAGAAAAGGTGACTTAGCTGGCTTAAATTATCTCAGTTGCAAGCATTCAAAGTGATACAACATACCAGGTCATATTTTTATTTTTTTTTTACTTTTTTTTTTTAACGTTTATTTATTTTTGAGACAGAGAAAGACAGAGCATGAACGGGGGAGGGTCAGAGAGAGGGAGACACAGAATCTGAAACAGGCTCCAGGCTCTGAGCTGTCAGCACAGAGCCTGACGCGGGGCTCGAACTCATGGACCGCGAGATCATGACCTGAGCCGAAGTCGGCCGCTTAACTGACTGAGCCACCCAGGCGCCCCACCAGGTCATATTTTGAGGTCTCTCAGAGCTTCTGTCTGATCCCTCCCTTTACACATTCCCCCCCCCCCTTCCCATTACTTGGTCCTTCATACCATCATTGGAATGACGGCTTCACTCTCCTGAGGTTGTCAGATGTTCTTTTTCATGGTGACGTGACACCATGACTGGGACCCTTGTTAAAACATATGTGATACTGTGTGGTAATTTTCAGATTGTCTCCTACATACGATTATAGGATCTTTGAGGGAAAAGATGTGTGTTATTCATCTTAGCATGTTCAACCCCTAAAACATTGCTTGGCACAAAATAAGGAATTAATGTTTATTAATGAAGAAAAATAATGATGAATAAAAATGTCCTGAAGACCACTGTGTTCTCTCTTTGACTGATTTATTCCCGGTATATTACGCCCCATGGTATCCTAAGCAGGGTGGGGATGATTAAAAAGATGAAGGAAAACCTGTAACTCTAACATTTTTTGACAAAACTTTGGAGGAAGGTAAATCAAGCTTAATGAAGATTTTTGTAAATCTTGTATACATTCTATCTTTGCCTGACTCATATTATGAGTCATTCAACATATATGTGTTGAGTGCCTAGTACACATTAAGCATTGTTTAAGTGTTGGGGATACATATGGGGTGCCTGGGTGGCTCAGTCGGTTAAGCGTCCGACTTCGGCTCAGGGCATGATCTAGCAGTTTGTGGGTTGGAGCCCCGCGTCGGGCTATGTGCTGACAGCTCAGAGCCTGGAGCCTTCTTCGGATTCTGTGTCTCCCTCTCTCTCTGTTCCTCCCCTGCTCATGCTCTGTCTCTCTCTCTCTCTCAAAAATAAAGATTTAAAAAAAAATTTTTTTTTTTAAAGAGTTTGGGATACATAGGCGAAGTAAACAAAGAAAGCCCTCAGAGAGCATTGGCCCGACAAGTGAACTCCAGCAATCATTTCCCCTTTCTGCATTTTAGTTTGACATTTGTGCTTAAACAGGAAACACTATCATGGAAAGCATGCTGATTCTCAGATGAAAGGCAATGGTAAACACATGGATATATTGTTGATAAGTGCTGCCACTTCTCTCTAGGACCAAGGACAGTTAAAAGGAGGTCATCAATTAAATCTGCTTCTTTACCTTGTTCTTAGCAGCCCACACCAATAGGCATTGCCTTCATTTTTTTAAAGGTAGTTTTCTGCGTACATGCAACATTGGGTGGTTGCAGCGCCAGCCGGGACAGTGAGCCCCGCCCATAGGCACCACCTTGGTGTTTCCCTTCGCTAGTTTGCTGGGGACTCTGCTGAGAGGCTACACCCGAGCACAGCGTCTCAGCTGTAGAGGCTCCTGTGGGTAAAGGCACAATTTCCTACAGAAACTGGGCAAATTTGAAAGGGGCAAAGGGAAGCGTTTTTGTGTCCCTCCAAAACCCCAGCTTCTATTGAAGGGAAGACTGGAAATAAGTGCCTCACTGCTTTTCTTCTGTGAAAACGCATTACCATGTAACAAAAAGTACTAATTGCTCTGTGGGAAATGTTTTTATTTTACAAATACTCTGTGGCTCTGAAGTGACAGCACGATTATAGTTCTGACAGTATCGCTGGTACAATTTCCAGGCTCCTCAGGGAGAGCAATGTGGGGATTTTCCTCCTGGAAGCAAAGGTAAATTCTCTGGTCTGGAAGGTACACTTGATTTAAACACGATTCAAAATAAGTAAAAACAGATGATAACACAGCAAATAATGAAAGCTTGGCAATTTCGCTACAACAAATTATCTTATCCAGAACACTATGGGAGCGTCAAAGAGAAATGCAAAAATAACTCTGTGTATCTTTGACTGTTCTTAAAATTTCCAGTGGCTCAAACTCTCATCTCCAAACTGGGAAATGTGAGAGGAACTGAAAGGGAGAGAAGAACCTGGAAAAGTGTAGGGAAATGTAAACATTAGAAAGAGAGAGTGTAGGAAGGGGACAGCTTCAGGGTCAATGTGAGACTCTCCTGCCCGTTGTGATCTGGATAGACCCGGGCCCGCCGCGTGTTCCGTGGAGGCCGTGCGGCGGCGACGGTGACCTGAGTGGCCATCGAGCAGCTAGAAAGCGCTTTCGCAGGAGCAGGGCAGCGGCCGGGGGCGAGGCGGAGGTGGGCGCCAGCAGCCCTCTTCTGGCTGCTCGCGTCTAGCGTGGTGATAATGGGGGTGGGGCCAGCGGTGGCGGTGAAGCGCTTGGTGGCCCCCCGTCCCCTCATCGTCCTCCGCTGTTCCCTCCCACGAACAGCAGACTGCGCCCAGGCGCCTCCGCAGCCGCCGCAGGAGCCGGCAGTCGCCTGCCTGGAAGAAGAGGTAAACGAAGGGATCGAGAGCGCTGTTGGCCACTCCCACGAGGTGCAGCGCGGCCGCCACTTCCTCGGCCTCCCAGTCTCCCACCTGTCCCGACGACCACACGGCCGCCAGCCGGGCAGCGAAGTAGGGAAGCTCGCAGCTCACGAACAGCAGCGCCAGCGCCAGGCTCATCTTCAGACTCTGTACCTTAGCGCGTGGCAGCGCGCTGGGCGCAGGGGCTCTGCCGGGACTCGCCCACCAGGGCGCTGAAGGCGGCGGGGCCTGGGGCGGGCGCTGCCACCAGGCGCAGAGCAGGCGGCTGCAAGCTACGCCCATGACCGCGACCGGCGCCACGAAGCCCGCGACGGCCTCGTAAAGCGCATAGACCTGCAGGTGCCAGCGCGGCAGAGGCGCAAAGATGTCACGGCAGCGACGCTCCCCGGGCCAAGCGCGGGGGGCCGAGGGCGCGGCGGGTGGCGGCGAGGGGGCGCCCCCGCGCACCACGAAGGCGGGGGGCAGCGCCAGCAGCAGCGCCAGCAGCCA